AAAAAAAAATTACAAAAATCTGGAAGGATTCTGCACTCAAACTGCCTTGTGAATATCTTTAGAATCTCTCCTTAAAGGAAAACTGTAAGTATAAACTGTAGATAGACGATGCAGAATGAAAGCGCCAGAAAGTCTATAACCATCTCTAATCTGAAGACCCACTTCAAAGACGAGACCTTGTCTCTACGTCGAATGAAAAATGAATGAATACATTTATACATTTTAAGTTAAAATAAAATGTTTAAGGTATATATGTGTAACTTTTTGTAATTTCCAGCTTTAATTAACTTTTTTTGGTTGGGGGGACGGAATTTTGCTCCGTCACCTCAGCTGGAGTGCAGTGGTGTCACTGTAGCTCGGTGCAGCCTCAAACTCCTGGGCTCAAGCAATCCCTTTGCCTCAGCCTCCCGAGTAGCTGGGACTACCAGTGCACACTATGATACCCAGCTAATTTTTCTATTTTTGGTAGAGATGGAGTCTCACTCTTGCTCAGGCTGGTCTTGAACTCCTGAGCTCAAGCGACCCTTCTGCCTCCATCTTCCAGAGTGTTAGGATTACACATGTTTGCCCTGGTGCCAGGCCAAATTAACTTTTTTGATTAACAATTACTGGTCTCAACTATGACAGGTAAGGGGTCTTCTCTTATAATTCCAATTAATTAATCCCCTTCTCCTCTCTACATGCTAAGAAATACTCAAGAATTTCTGAAGAGTCCTATAGTGATTCTCCAGTAATTTTACTGCAGAAAAGGAAACGAGCTTGGGTTTCAAGTGTGCTATGGAGAATTCTGGTATAGTGGAAAGAGCACTAGCTGGGGAGTCAGGGGTCCTAGAACCAACCAGCACTGTCACTTACTAGCTGTATGACTTTAGACAAATTACTTAACCTCTCTAGTACTTGGCTTCTTTATTTTGAAAAAGAGGACACTGCACTAGATTATATTCATGTTTTCTTTAACTTCACCAAGGTGTTTACAGGACCAGAGGAGCAGTAGAGACAGAGAACTCTCATTCCAAAGGGGCCTTTTAAATTAAGACAGCCATATCTTTATGAGAGGACTTAACGGTGGATTTATGGAATGCTACAGACAATGTGCCCTTTCCAAGTCTTGTCCAGACCTATCAGTTTGATGTTAATCTTGACTGGAGTCAAACATACACTCCTTGATTTGTTTTCAGAGTTAAGGACCTACTGCCATCTTGTGTTCAAAAGAGGTTTTCCACAATCAAAACTTACTGATGTCAAGACAGTCTGAAAAATACACTTTTCCCTAAGCCAATTTTCTTTTATGGTTTCTGGAAAATAGTATTCACTAATAATCAAAATTGTATAAGGATAGGAAGTACTTTAAAAATGGAACTGTTAGAAAAAGCCACAGTAACAAAACAGTTTGCTAACTATCATAACGGAGAGCCCTCAAGAGATCATTCGTTCATTCATTCATGAAACATTTATGGTCCTAAATGTAGAACATACATAAGTCTTGGATTCCACCTAGTCCTGTAGTAGTAGTTCCACTGTTCTCAAGCAGCTCATCTATTGAGGGAGAGAAACATACAATCCTATAAAGAAAGTACAATGTGGTAAGGGCTGTAAGAGTTTGCACAATAAATGTTCTAGGGAAGTACCAGGAGAGAACTTAAACCCCATAAGAGCTCTGGCAACCCACCCCACATTCCTCTATACTTTCTCTAGCCCCAAAAGGCTGCCTGACCCATCTATATTTTCATAATTCAATAATTAGGAATGGCCACTATGTAAAGAAAACAGATAAAAAATTCCTTTGCTCATGCAGTTCACATTCTTTAAGTAAAAAAAAACCACCACCAAAAAACCAAAACTCTGAATTTCCATGTTTTCAGAAGATAATACCTGTGCAACACAGAGGTCTGATGAGATTTTCAACTCTGGCTACAGATCAGAGACCAATTCACTAGGACTAGGTGGAACCCAAGAATCTGTATCTATAAGACTTTATAGTAGGTGTGCCAGGTTGAGAACCACTCCCTTTAGAGATAACATACAATGATCAAGATAAATGCTTTGTTTGTTTTTAAAAAAACAATAAAGGTGAATTGGATTTGTAAAAAATTATAGTATTCCTTGAACTTACGAAAAACCCCAACCATGAGCACTGTGTCAAAATGAATAACTGCTAAAACAGTAGACTCAGGGAATTTCTAACCTTTATAAGGTGCAGAGACAAATATTTACTGATCACTTGTTATGTAAATAGCATTTCTGGATGACAAAAAATTCACACTGGAGAGGGGCACTAAATATAAATGGCTTGTACAGTTCAAATGGAGCAGTTGGTAGGTGTAACCAGCATGGCTTCAAACATCACAAGAATGCTGCAAACACCACAGCTGTCCCAGTGAGTACACAGAGCACTTAATGGCCTCTGGTCTCCCCACTCTCTTACACTCTGAAGAGAGGTCTTCCATCCCAAAGAAGCCATGTCCCAAATGATACTTCGCTTTGAGTTTACAATACTGTTCTTAAACCTGGAGGGACATTAGAATCACCTGAAAATTACTTTTAAAAGATGCTGCAGCCTCATCCCAGGCTAAATCACTCTCTGGGGTTGGGAGATGAGGTTGGACCTCAAGCTTCTATAGTTTTAAAAACTTCCCAGGTGATTCTTATGCACAGCAAAGTTGGAAACTACTATATCTTTGAAGCGAAAAAGAATAACTAGCTAAAAGTTACAAAACATAAAGGGTCAGTAGAATAGAAAAAAATACAAGAAAACCATTTCATTATAAGATGTTCACAAAGCTTTAAGATATATGTTATTTCTTACCCATCTGATTGTGTTCTTAGCTCGAGGACTTTGAATCTTTGTCTTCCAACTGCTTTCACTTTTACTATCTCAATTCCAAAATCCTGTTCTTCTCGGTAGGCATATATCTCTGCTGTTGTTCCAAACTGTGCTTCCCTTTCCTGTACATTACTTCCAAGATAAAATTTAAAAGGAAAGAGTTTTGAACATTTGTCTTTTAAATATGC